GTTTTACAAAAATGTTAGATGTACACTCCCATGTATACCATCCTTGACCTTTTGGTGTGCTGGTAAAAAAATGATCACCTTACATATATATTGAAATTCAGAGTTTACTACTTTAATAAAAAAAAACAAAAAATACTACTTCACGACAAAATAAATCCACATTTACTGTATCCTCAACTTTCCAAATCTTCACACGTAACTGATATTGATGCTTACCTTCAGCAGAAACAGTTGCATTTAATTGAGATTGCTCAATGCGTGGGAATTCAAATTTTAAATGGAGGGTTTAGATGATACAATCATACAATACTTGCAATGACTGTGACAATGATCAATTCATCTTCCAATATTTCGTTAAATCCCCTTGGCCTTCTTTCATCCGAAGTGAAATCTACATTGCAGATCTGTGTCCAAGCCTTTCCAATTCGGTAATCCTCTTATAGAAATCAACACTTAATTAGTATATGTAATTTCATGAAAATAGTTATTCGATCCATTGGATTCCTATTTGTAATCCGTAAGCAAGAGTTCATATTTTCAATTATGAAAGCTGTTTTACGTTGATGTATTCGATATGAATATATATTTGCTTCGTTTTTATCCCCTTTTTTTTGTTTCAGATATGGAATGCGTTAACGAGTTCATAACATTCAATTCCACGACATTTGGTATTCTACTACCTAGCGGATTCAAGTATGCCGATATTATTGAGATGATATCATCCGAGATAATTCGAAGCTAGATTATGAAGTAGGTGATAACATAGCCCCGATTACTGTTCAAATGTTGCAAGAACTACAGAATGCAAATTCTCCTCAAAAGGAAGCTAGTCAATTGTGTACGTATATGAATCCCTCAGCTACAACGTTGCCAACATTGCACGACTTTGCACGATACAAGTGAGGCTGATGTTGTCAGTACTAAACATGGAGTAGAAAATGTTGCTGAAAATTAGATATTCAGGGAGAAAAACTTGTCGAAGAGCGCTGTTGCACAAGTGAAGGACATAAAGTGATTAGTCAGTGAAACGTTTCAAATTGGAAGGCATAAAAGTGAAGGACAATGAACATTCTCATTTGAACACAAACAACATTCATATTTTGTTAGGTTAGAACACTGTGAGATACAACAAAAACAATGAATTTCTCTATCTAAAAATTTTCTAATAATACATGAATTAACAAAAACTTGGTCCACTCCACGACAATACACACTTGGGAAAATCAAATTCTCTAAACAATCAATACAATGAAGTCGGACATCATTGGGTTCTGTAAACGACAGAGTATTGCATGAACAAAAAAATTTATCCAATATATAGCTGTACAATGATCAAAGGTAACATATCATCATGACAGATATTCTCGCTTCGATACTATGACATGTAGAAAAAGAAATGAATATGAAATCTTAAAATGCTGGATGATGGAACAAACACGCTCATATTATTATATAACGAAAGATAGTCTGAACAAGAACATTACGTTAAAGAGTTGATGTTCATAGCATCTAGACTAGAGGGGTGAACGTGTGATCCATAACAAACCAAAAGACAAACAACTGAATGTACTTCACAAAAAAGTTACTTCAGGTCTGGAACTAAAAACTTGGATGACTACTCAAAAGAAAGCTAATTTATTAAAACGGCTGTCAAGCAATAAGCACACCCTTCATCTTCTCGTCCCTCCTCACAGACCGTGGAACCATGTCAAAGTTAGTCTTATATTCTTCTATATGCTTCTCGCACCCATGCTTGAAAATTTGAGCAGCAAGGTGTAATCTTGATAATATCGGATCAAAATTTTTAGCCGTCTCATCAATCTTCCCGTATATGATACATTCCGTATACTTAATAACATACAATCCACAGTCATGCCTGTATAGTTTTTGAATAAAAAATACAACAATGTTAGGTAGATCTAGCAAGTAGAGAAGGGCGTGTGAGAATGAGTAAATGTTGTGATGTGTGTGTGTGTCTATATATATATATATATATATATAGATATATATAACATTTAATGTGATGTGTAATCAGCATCCTTACACGTAAGTTAACATTACAATATAAAGTATAATTATTATTTACTCACCCATACTCATCATGCGGTATGTCCGTAGCTATCTTGACAATGAGAGGGTTAACGCGTTCTGCTCCATCACTGATCTTGCGTTGCCAGGTTTTAATCTTAACCGTCAAGCATGGCAGAACACATGCAAAAGCCTCCACATCGGCAATGACCATTCTGTCTCTCACAGTCAATCTGCTTGAATTGTAAATGTACAGCGTACTCTTATTGATGTCGAATTGAGCAAGAATCCAAAGAGCTTATGTCATCCATGCATGACTTGTACGCTGATCGAACCATGGCACCAAAGAATGAGTCGGTCATCATACATCTATATAACTTCAAATAGCTGAACTTTAACATCTTCCGCAAATAGTGTAAATTGGGGATTGTAGAATGGATTTTCGGACATAGATCGTGGAAATAAAAGGAAAATGAGGTAAGTACGTAGATGATGGATTTTGATGTGGATGTTGATTTCTTGGGAACCTTAGGTTAGGTTTCAAGTCTCTGTAATGAAGAAGAAGATTGGATTGGGAATTTTGCGAACCCGGTTTCGTCTTGAGGAATGTTAGTGACAATATTAGCGACGAGAGGCTTGAGAACCGTGGAATAAATGCACGGCGAGAGACAAAAGCTGCTGGAATAAACTGAGAGAAACACATCCATTGAAGCCAAAGCCTCATCTTCTCCAGGAGAAATTTGCAGATCCCCGAGATAGAAACGGTCACATATTCATTTGGTATGTTATATTACACATTTCAAATTGGATTAAGGTGGTTGATATCTCAATAAGATAAATTCTGGAATGGTTTTGGGATTTCTTGAGATGCTTTCTCGTTTGAGAGGATTTGGGCGGAAGGGTGAAAAGTGAAAATGCACAAATTTAGGGATTATGAGCATGAATCCTATTGATTGATTGGTAATGCTTGTTTGGTGGAGTGATGTTGGCATATATATTAATTAACTTTGAAGAGTAAGATAAGTTATTGGTTTTTTATTTTACTGTAGAAATTATAGTATTTTTAGAATAAAATAAGTTGAAATGTAAAATCTGAATATGTTTCTATTTAATGGTATTGGGTGAAATTTCCTCTACATAGATTGGCGGTGGAGTGGAGTGTATATATACACAAAAATACCTACACAAGAGAGCAGCCGTGGGAGAGAACTAAAAAACAGAGAATAGCCGGCAGATTGAGGAGAGAGTCAAGAATAGTGGCTGGTTGATTTTGGAGAGGAAATAGAGTCAAACATTGCTGCTGAATTTATTGTACACGTACATAGTGGGCAGCTTTGAAAAAGGGGCTGGAGTTGAAATTCTTTTGGAGTCAAAGACGACGGCTGGAGAGGAAATTGGACACACGTAGAAGCTGACAGATTTAAGGAAACTGGACAGCTTGGAGATTGTAGCTGCAAAATCATATTTTTCTGACTCTTTTCTTTTCCATGCTTTATTTTTAGATTTTATTATGCCGTTTTAATTTGTCATGAATTAATTTATTTA